CTTTCTTTTTCTCACAGTAAGATATGACTTAAATTCCTAAACTCAAAACCCCAAAAAATTCAACCCACAAGCCCCAGTGGTATTTGAAGTTTATGTATTCTTCAACCGAAGGCCTTTGCATAACCAGATACTGGTACATTCTTTAGTGAAATTCTTGAAGCTTTGGGCTTAACCACTGCTTCTTTCAGGGAGGTGCTTGAAAACATGTCAACTATGTAGCTGTACTGGAAGGCTGTGTGGATGAGGTATGTCCTTTTTCTCAAATTGACTGACTAATGTCAAGCTCCACACTGAGGCAGGTTCTTGGCTTCCAGTTTGAACAGTCCCATGGTGATGTCAGAATTTTGGTGTTTATATTTAAACATTTAGTTATTATCATTATTACGGAGAAAAGCTGAAGATTTGGCATGAATTAATCTTGTACAGAGATAACAGCTGGAGTAAGCAGAGAACTTTGTGAGTTTGTATAAGTTATTAATGCTGAAGTCTTTATGTGGCCTGCAGCAGTAGACCTTTGTGTAGACAGGAGAAATTCACAAACTGTGCAAAGAGACTTGGTTTCTGAAAGAAAAGAAAGAAACGATACAGCAACATCCTTGCTGGAAGGTGAGATATAATAGTGCTTAAATAGACTTGAGAGAGAGAAACATACAAAGGGTTTACAAGGCTGGAATTAAACAAAACTAAGGGGGATTTAGAAATGTACTTAGAAAAAAATAATCCTGAAAAGGAAAAGACAGTCTTCCTTTCCACCCAAAATCAAAAAGGAACACTATTAAAATGTTCTTAAAGTATTCAGTTTCTTTTAAAAACACTCATGATACACTGGGCAGTCCAACATGATCCTGTGTGTATTGGCAAAGCATAGTAGCCTTTTGGATACAGAAACTTCATCTAAGTGTGTTTCAGATCTATGTGTGATAAACTTCATTTGTTAAATATGGAAGGTTTATCTACTCTTTAAAACACCAGTTGTGTTTCACGTAGTGAACCAAAACAATATAACGGTATTAGGCTTCTTGGCTCTTATCTGACTTCTCTATTTTTCTCTAAAGTGTAACGTTAATGAGAAATTTGCTGAAATATTTCTCAAAAACTCCGATTGCTTTTCTTCTAAATTCTCTGCATAATTTTCATTGCCTTCCAGTTTACTATGGGAGACTGGTTGAGAGCACCTTGAAATAAAATCCAAGGCTGCACCTTTTTTCCCCTATATTTTTGACAGTATTCTTGTTCAGATATCAGGAGGGGGAACATGATTAAGAAGCACAGAGCCAGAGTCTAGAGCAAGTTAATCTGGCAGTGCTGTTCTGGGCACTGGTTCCTTTATGGCTTTAGGCAGAACACGTGACCTTTCAATCTCAGTGTTCTTTTCATTAATATAGGGTGATGAGAATAATTTAATTCCTATCATCTGGCACAACGTATTTGCTATGGACAAAGAAAATGATATGAAAATAGCCTTTCTGAGGATTGTTTAAAATCAGAGCATATACATCATATATCACTGAATTATTTCAATTTTACTTATTTATTTTTAATGAAGGAACTCGGTTCTTAATTGAAGAGGCCAAAACATTTAAAGGTTGAATTTGTCGATTGGAGAGTATTCTGAATTTCAAGAAAACTACCCTCCCACTGTTTCATTATGAGAAATATTTTAAAGGCTTTCCAAAAAGTTTTGTCTTTATGCAGAACCACAGTCTGTTTATTTCTTCATGCCAAAGATGAGGTTTGGCAGAGGATTATCCCATACCCTTGCCAACAGCTCTCCTAAGAGCACACTCAGTTAGTTTATATTACTACTTTTGAAAAAGGAAACATTAAAGAAACTGTATTTTTAATACAGTATAAAGGTCTTCTGAAGGCTGAAAATGCCTCCCTTTGGCCCCACCTCCCTGCAAAGGAATAGGGGAAGTGAGGGAAAAAGGAGTCCTGCAGTCAAAAGAACTGCCTCTGTGTGAGGCCTGAGAGCTAGGACAGCTTTGCTCTAACCCTCATTTTCCTGCAGGCTCCAGTTTTCAAAAATTCTTTCGAAATCTAGTTGTCCAAGTTGAGACAACCATGTCTTAATTTTCAGCAAGTCTGGCACTCTCAACACCTGTTGATGATACTGTGACTGTTTAAGGGAAGGATTTAGAATGCCTTCTGCCAATCTCTCACCCTAATGCAAATGCACTTGGTAGATACAGAGGGGAGCACCCAATGCCTTGATCTGTCCATCTGTCAACTCTGTAACCTTCTGAACACAACTGCATCCCCTCTGCAGCATCTCTAAAAGGTCATAAGGTTTGTACTTGTCTAATTTCCATTGTCTTGCTCTTAAAGTACTATAAGCTCTAGCTGGTGTCTGGAACACTGGCCCTATCTCACAAAAATTGAGTGATATGTTTGTGTAACTTTTGACTTAATATGACAGTCTTCCTACTTATTGGGGCTAGTGAGACTTGAAGCATCTTAGTAAATATGCAGTAGAAACAACTGCTGTTGACTACACTAATTCAGCACAGAGGGCCTTTTTAACACTTCTAAATCTTCAAGTCTGAGATAATATATAATTAAAACATAGAAGGCCACTGAAATGCCCGATTCTATAGCTATATTATGTCCAGTGAGAGAGCATTTCAGGTGATTGTAAAAAGACTTATGTATTGTAAAAGAGGGGAAAAAATGCATATACACATGCATGCATGCATGCATTCATCCATCCATCTGAACTCAAATGGCATTTTTAGAAACGAAATATAAATGTCAGTCTTCACCCAGCTGAATATTTATCTTCTCCAGGAGTTGTCATGTCAGTCCAGTTGTTATCTGTAGTCATGGCTCAGTTGTGCATGTGCTAGGGCTGGTCAGCTGTCAAAGAGAAAGCTAAAGGATGGAAGATGCTAATTTTCATCTGAGTTCCCAAAACTAAAATGGTAGCATTTGATTTTGAAAATTTTCCTTTTCTTTTAATTTTTTTTTTTTTTTTTTTTTTTTTTTCCAAAATAAGCTCCCACATCCAGAGTTTCCTATTCAACTACAATACCTTTTCCTCCAGGGAATCAAATCAAAGAATTTCTTTTAGGTGGCTAAAATGTTACCTAAATGTTAGGGATCTGAATTCAAAATCTGCAGAATCTGCTACATGCTAATATGTTGTAATAAGATTTGAATAACCAGTGTTGCATGGATAAGATTCTTTTTTTTCTTTTTCTTTTTTTTTTCTTTTTCTTTTTTCTGTAAGTGTATCTGTCTTAGAGATCTGTCAGAGTTGCACCAGTATGGGTCAAGCTACATGGTTGGGGCCCTTAAGGCTCTGCAGAGAGGGTTATCATTTGAGATTCAAAGCATTTCTATGATGATATGAAAATAAAACTATGCTGCAAATTCTTCAAGTATTCCATGAGGAAGTTATTTTATAATCTGCAATTATTTTTCATACTGGGAGAACAATCATGGGAAGCTTCAGTATGTAGATCCTTCTGTAACTTGTCATTACTTTGCACTGATATTCAAATGGCAATCCTTGAAGAAATCAATCCCTTTTTATGCTGTAAATAGATATTTTGTTTAGTTAACCTACTGAAAGATCTGAAAGGGAATCAACATGTTCTGTAAACTCAAGAGACTGTTTGAAATTCTCACTTCCTTCACATTACAATTTTGATTTATCACGTCTACGTCAAGCCTGAATCCTTTCAAGTTTTATTAAAGTGTTACCTCCAAATGTAAGCTTGTAAGCACAGTTTCTTTCCCACTCTTTATTTGAAAAACTGTGATTCCCTGAGTTTGGAATGAATAAAGTCCCGTTTTGAATAAGGTCTAATTTCCTATGATATTAGGCTGTCTGCTTTTCTAACAAGACTCAAGCTCCAATTGGAGCTTTTCCACTGGCTAGGAAATTCCTAACTGTTCAGTACTAGTGGATTCCCTGAAGGCCTAGTCGTGTACGTTTACACTGAAGACTTTCCTTATTAGAAGCAGTAGTAAGGACATTCTATATACCAATACAACTACTTTCCTACTTCCTGCTAGGATTATAATTACGTTTGAGGTGTCTGCTTTTATCAGATATGGTTGAAATTGGTGGCTGTGTCAAAAATTATTGAAGAGGTAGTAGGCATATGGTGAGTCATGCAGACAAAACTCAAGTGTAAGGTTTATTTCCCTGCAATATCTGTCACCTGTACTGCCAGAGATATCTGAACCTCTGTGGATTTTTACTGTCCTATTCCTACTATTTCTTAGAGAAGGAGATATAAGAGAGTTTCTTTGGATGTAAAACAGCATTCCCACAGGATATCAGTTATGACCAATGGAATATATTTCCTGCTGACGTTCTGCCCATTTCTGGACTTGCTTTTCATCATGGTAGTCCTTAAAAAATATATTTATACATACAACTTCCCTGCTGGAGTGGAAATAAAAGTAAATTGTTTCATTTTTGTTATGTTTTCAAGGTCCTTTGTCATGTCAATGGCCAATAGGCAGGGTACAAGTGAGATATCAAGGCTCTGTTTAACTTCACTTCTGCTTTTGCTGTATTTGAAGATTCTCCTTGATTTTATTACAATAATACTTTTGATTTATAAATTTGGACCTCCTCTGATGTGAGCCCCAAGCATTTCCATTTCTAAGTGCAAAAAGTTAATCCTTGTGTAATTAAAAGTGGTGCCAGTTTCTAACCACACTGCCTTACCTACCCTAGTCCTTTGGAAATGTTTTACTTGCAACAACTTTATATACCAAACAAGTTTGTTTAATAAAAATGTTGTTATAATAACTATAAACAACATACTTTTGACATGACTAATGTTTTCATGAAGTTGCTTTCATTTTCACAGGTCACTGCTTCCTTTTCCAGCCTCACAAACACTTTTCTCAATCATCTTGGTGCCTCATCACTTGGATCTGCGTCCTATGATTTGATCTTCTTTTCAGAGTGTTCTCTCATTTGTTTCTGTCCATGTGCTGTTTTTCTGACACTTCTTTTTTCTTGTGGCACTTTCTGACAGATTTTCTCTATGATGAACTGTTAAAAGAGGTGAGGTACCCAGAAATAAAGTGGGAAAAAAAAGAAGCAACTGACCAATAATCTACCCAGAAAGTAAGTAATTTTTCTTATGTAATATGTGTGTACATGTTGCTATCTTATAAAGTTACATTAATGTTTTTCTGTACAACATAGGGCACATTTTGTAAATGAGCTTAAACAGCATCAAATCGTAATTATTCATGAATAGTCTCTCTTTTATTGTTAATTATATGCATCATGCTAAGCGAGGCTGATAAGTTCATCTGAGGTAACAGAGCTTATTCCTTTCTCAGTCATCCAGTCTGGATCTCAGCTGCAAAGTAAGTACCTCTACCACATCTTGTTACCAAAATAGCAACCTTCTTAATCCTTTGCTGTGAAGAACAAAGGTTCTATTCAGTCTTTGGAGCAGAAATAGGATCTTATTAATGCACTGGCAACTAACGTGTTGTTATTTTTGCTAGAAAAGGGCGAAACAGGAATTTGCTGATATATGTTAGATTAAGGGCTGTTATTATTTTGAGATTATTTGGATTGTTAGTTGGGCCTTCCCAATAGCAGTTGAAAATTTACAAAATACCTTTTAATTTAGCATTCTGGATCAGTTCGGGGGCTACTTCTTCAGCTCCACTTTTTTGTACCTGTTCTGAAATAACTAAGGGTGTCAATTAAATGGTGCATTGGTTACTGTGCACGTGGTAGAATTAGGAGAAAAGTTCTGTTGCTCTTGCCAGGAGCACTGGTCTTCCTGGGCCCCATCCACTCATCAGCTAGTGGATCAGAGCTTACACACAGGGCAATAGTGAAGTGCCTGTTGTTCAGCCTTTGAGGATCAGAGGAAACCTGTGCATTAGCTGAGTGTGTGTGTTTGAAGAGTTTACAACTTATGTATAAATTTACATTTTGAAATATTAGATGTCTGATGGTGTTTTATGGAGTCTCTTCTTTCTTTTGAAAGATTTGCAGTCATGTAGTGTTGGGCTGCAGTGGACTATGGAATTTGGAATCCCTGTGGAGTAGGCTCTCTATGCCTCTGGCAGCTCTTCAGGATGAAGGGATGAAGTTGGAATTAGGGTTTCAGAGAAAAGCCAGAGGAATTCTATTTGGTGAATAAAATGTTATTGAGCTTGAGGACCTGGAAAACGGTGAGGGAAGGATCTGGGTGAGCTCCCAAGTTGGTATGAATGACCCGCATAGAAGGTATTGCTTAAGGCAAGAATAAATGCAGTGTAACTGATCCACTGAGACCAGCAAATTGATTCTGAAAATGACTGGTGCTTGATAATTTTTAGTGATAGGCAAATGCCACACTCCCAAATACGTGTGGTCTATTGTGCAATTCTGTGTGAGTGTGGATCTTTGCAGGTTATTGGCCTATGCTCTTTGGCACAAAATGTGTTTGCATAAGTCTTAGCATGTAGAACTTTGGGTGTTTACCTCTATGTGTATGTGAAAGATTCAAGGTTAAACAAGGAAGAACTATCCCAGAAGCTGAGGTCAGCAGAAGTATTCTGGCTAACTGTTCCCAGGCCTGAATACTAGAACAGTAGGATGGCGGTTTCAGTGAACCTTAGTTTGCTGCTTCTTTTCCTTATAGTTAGGATAAATCTTGTGTCCGGCCTCCAGGAGATCAGATAAAGATATGTGTTGGAGTCTGTAGGCCAAGTCTTGTGCCTTGACTGTGGACTTTTATTTCTAACTTGAACTGCATTTCTAGACATTGTTTAAGACAGTTCTGTGTTGTATTAATTGCTATTTTATCCCGAGTTGTGTTCACAAGGTCCCAAAGAGACTGCTGAATTGGATCAGCTGATGCAGGCTCTATCTAAAGTAAACTGGAAATTGAAAAATCAAATTTAGGTGACTTAATGCACAGTTATGCAAAAGCGGGAATGCATGTAGAATCTGCAGTTGTGATGGAAGACTCAAAATAGTATATTTCCAGATTGGTGTTGCCTGGGGTGTTTGTAAATCTAGAGAAATTATCTCTATGACTTAAAAATATGAATAATAGAAAAACAGCAGATACAAATGTGAATGCTAAGAAATATGGATAAATGTATTACTGGAAAACCAATGGTTGCTTTCTAAGCTTCTTTGTTAAATGAATGGCCTGCTAGGATACAAAAAGGTTAATTATAATTTCAGTGAAGTTACATTATGACAGAGGGAACTTTTTTACTTGATTTGTGTGGACTGTGGAGGAAAAAAGCATGCTTTGGCTGATTGCCATGACTTTAACCAGAGAGCTTTCAGGCTGCAATACAGAATTTAAATCATCAGCTTAGGTCTAGGTGTATTTTGTGAGGTCCTGGTTTTCCTTGGGGATCTAGAGAAGCACTTGTTATCCTACAGAGTCTGGGAGGAGATTAGGAAATTAGCAAGAGGAGTTTTGTTTGGTATGTGTTGCTTTCATTTTTCATGTGGAGGCAAATCCTGAAGGAACTCATGTCTCCGAGCAGAAGGGCACTTAGCCTTCTAAGAGAGGCAGGACTTGGAATGAAGCTGGAGAAGTGTCAGTGAGGAAGAGCTTTGGTACACAAAGTAAGGAGTTATCATATCAAGACAGGAAAGCAGGCTACCATACTCTGACTTGCTCCTCTATGTTCCGAGCAAGGTTAGCCTTTTAGTGGACTGTGAGAATATTACACAAGATTCATCCCTCATTTCTACTTCTAGCTGCTTGAGTCACTGAAGATATGCCTACTCAGGATTTGGCAGGCAGATATGAACTCACTCTGTGTGCTCCAAGCTGGCTGGGTGAAAACTGGCTCTGAATGTGAAGCTGCATAGCCATGATTAGCATGTGGCTCAGCCTGTACTGACAAGTCCTGCTGAGAAGCAGAATATGTTAGTTTGGGATCAGTGTTACAGGGTTGCAGTTACATGCTTTAAGATTAGAGGTAGCTTATATCTGGGCATCTTGTAGCATGTGCAGAGGGAATTGGCATCTGCTTGCAAGCTGCCATGGCAGTGTACCCTGAATATGTTAAACTGGTTAGCCAAACATGCTGATCCAGAAAAACAGTGCCCAAAACACTGCCCGTTCTATTTAAGAAAGCCCTTCAGTAAAAGCCCAGTGCCAAACTCCAGCCTTAACACACAGTGTGTTTTCAGATGCTTTCTGTCAAGTTTGAGGCTTGATATACAGTAATATTGGACAGAAAGACTTAAAACTGTGTTTGAATGGAAACCCAGATAGCCACTAGTAAGGACTGTGCAGCCATAACAGATGAGCACCTTGAATAAATATCTGTCTGAATTACTTGTCGCTCCCTTAGTGGACCATTACACAAACTGCTTGCTCCCTTATTTACAATGAATGTAAAGTGCTAATGGCAGCTTATTTATCTGGCATCCTAGACTCCTAGGTCACCTAGGTGCTTTTGAAGAACTGTCTCTTTCAAATTACTTTCTATAATTCATTTTCATGTATCGTATTTTCAGGAAAAAAAAAAAAAAAAAAAAGAAAATGGTGTCCATTTAAACAATTTTGTCCTTAGCTGCAGGAGTCCATTAACTGTTATGCTCTTGAACCAAATTAAACCAATGCATTCTGTATGATATAAAACTATTCTTAACTATGGCAGTGGATCCCTACAGTCATTACATTAATACCAACTATTATCATCCAGGATGCTCATCTGGTTTTACTGAGTTTTGTTAATGAAATGGAAATGTATGATTGAAGTCATCCTGTCTGTCCCTCTAAAGTTGTGCCTGTGAATGAGTCACTGTTTCACAAATGGGTGTTGCCAGACGCTGATATTGAATGTGGCTCCAGCAGTCAGAGTTTTGGGTCCAAAGCTGCATTCTTGGAGTCCAGATTGGAACACTGAAATTCCCATTGAAATCTGTGGGAATTCTGCATGGCCAAAGCCCAGTTACCTTTATGGTTGACTGTGGAAGCTCAGAGAGCGATGTAGCTCTATGCAGTAGGCGTTTAATAGCTTGAGGGCTCAATATGAATTTCATGCATCTCTTCACAGAATCACAGAATTGTAGGGTTTGGATGGGACCTCTGGAGATCATCGAGTCCAACTCTCCTGCTAAAAAACAGTTTCCCTGTAGTAGGTTGCACAGGAAAGTGCTTAGTTGCTTGAAACCCAGGAAGGAATTGAAGATACCACATTCCACTGAAACTATGTTTGTTTGAGGTCAGTTTTGTGCCCTCTGCTGTCTCTGGATGTGATACCTTCTGTTCCACTGATGAAACTGCAGCTGAGGTCTCCATGCTCACTGGACACATGAAGTACTTGTGCATGGCTAGCCCTGGCATGTCAGTCCGCTTGCTTGCTCTGCCTGCTGCAGTGGCCCTGGATAGCTGCACAAAGGGTGGAATTTGCTTCATTCTTTTGTCAGATATACAGATGTTTGCATGGCTCTAAGTAAATAGCTCCCAAAGATCTTTGGGTGGAGCTGTCCGTAGAAATCTGTGTGTTATGGACAAGGTTGACCCAAGTTAACTTGCTTCACATAGGAAATAGAGAATTGGAGAATTTCACATCTGGATTCAAGCTCTTTATGGCTACTGTCCTCTCATCTGTGCCATGGGCTGTTCCCTAGTCATAGCTCTGTACTTTCCCAAGCTTTATTTTTCATGTAGTCCCCTTAGGGGCATTTGTGAAAGTAGGAGGGCCAGACTAGTATTTGTAATAAAGAGAAGTATCGTCACTGATGTCAGTGCAGCTGTGTCACTTCACATTTGCAGGGAATCAGATCTGTCCACCAGTGGGATCGAGGGTAGGTAGACAGAGAAATGGCTGTGTTTAGTATTTTGCAAAGTCACAGACAGTAGTCAGACCTGTTATAAAACACAGTGTTGGAGAGACAGTTCTGTGTGGACACTTGAGTCTTGATTTACTTGTGGTCATTGTCCTGATATGCCATGGCTTTGAGACAAATTTTAAAAACATTAATATATGTACATCTATCCAGATAATTGGATGAGACCCCTTCTGTCTGGACATAGGATGCCACTTGGGGCATAGCTGTTTTTGTGCAGTTGGGTAAGCCAGCAGTGGAGAATCCAAGGCTGATTGCTCTGTGATACCAGATGTATGACAACATGTAGATTTGAAGGAGCATGACCTCACCCATCTAGTTAAAGCTTCCAAATTCTTTACCTACCTTAAGTATTAAGTATTTTTGAAAAGTTTGAGTTTAAAACTGACTTGAAAGAAAAGGCGAATGAAAGCCCTGAGTAAGGAGAAAGGAGAGCCACGTCTTCTCATATGCAAAGGAGAGTAGAGGAGGGAGAAAAAGCCAATTAGTAATAATAACACACCCATTCTGAGATCAACTCGAGCTGTTCTCAGAACTCTTCCTGCCTGGTGCATTTCTTTTCCTGTTCTCATTTGAACTGTTTCTCTAGAAATCAGCAATTGGAAACACATATGAAGTAATTCTCTTTGCCAGGTAAACGGGAACAATAGTGGAGTGGGAAAGAATGAATCACTGCCATTAACAAGAAAACTAGGATTGCTCTCATCATCAACACAATGCAGTGTCTATTCTCAAATGTCAGGGCTAATAACTCACCATTTACAAACTAGATTTAACCCCCTCCCACACAAACCCACATCGTCCTTGCTAGCCTTCAAGCTTAGGTCATAGCTGCCTTTCTCAGAAGGCCACCAATAAAACCTTCAAAATACATCTTCTCCAGACAGTCTGACTTCTTTCAGGATTGAATACTCCTTCTCTTTCTCCTTTGGTTGCTGTTTTAGTTATAACTACGTCACTGAAAAATGTGGAAATGTCTTTGAAAGCCCTAATTATTCTTAATATAACAGAATCATTATCGTCAACAAATGAAATGAATAATGCAACAAGTAAGAAAGATTCCAGAGTTTTGGTTACCTTAATAAATTCCTAAACATGAAGGAACTCATAGATCTTTATCCAATGCAACCAGAAATTATTAATGCAGGTGGGAGTATCAAAAGCTTGAGTGTTTCAGCTGGAACCTTACAACTTACTGAGATGATGTTTTTCATCCTATGTTCTGATGGATTGTAACTGTAGCTGCCCAGAAAAGATGTAACAAGGATGCCAGTTTCCTAGATAACCATCATGTAGGTGTAGAACCTGTGATGCTGTTAATTTCAGATGCTCATCGGGATATTAATAGCCCCCTTACTTTGAAAGTAATGGGCTTGTTTGAATTCCTGAAATACAGGAAACATTCAGGACATGTTTTTTCAGCCAGGTTGTTTTTTTTTTATAGTGGAGCTGAGGCAGGTAGCTGGAAAAAGGACACAGAAACAGATTTGAGGCTGATTAGTAAAGTCTGCTGAACAGATTCTGCTTCCCAGTCCAACACAATTATTTTCTCTTTCCCTGCAGACTGAAAATTCTTGAAAGTGGCGTGTATGTAGTTCTTAACACAGCTGCTTGCTGGAGTGTGTGCTTTGTGTGGGGGATCTATCAGCAGCCTGGCTACCTCTGTGTGATCTCGGGTAAGGACTGGAAAAAATCAAAGGCCAGATTGTTCTGTTTTACCAAATGTGTTGCCTAAGGCCTGCTAATTAATAGAATGTCTAGGAATGTCATACATCTATTGAAAAAAAAAGCATCACTTGAAAATTGCTATTGTTTCAATAGAATGTTGTCATTTTCACATAATGACTGATATCTCAGCCTACCAGCCTCTTTGAAAGAGCAAACTGGAACATGGGAAAACTGGCCACTCATAGGGAAACACTGTCTGGTTTTAAGTTTTTTTTTAACGTAGGTCTCACAGAGCCATAAATGCTCCCACATGTTGACTGGGGGGCCTTATCCTGAAATTCAAAAGAGCATTTCATTCTTTTGAGTTATTCCATCATCAGTTAGTGCCTGAGGCCTACTGTAAACAGGGGTTGCAGAATTGGCCTGATTTTGACCTAGCAATAGAGCATAACTCTGTGAACATTTGCTGGAGATATGGCACTTAGTAACATGGTCAGACCAGCTGAAACTCAGAGGTTATGCTTGGTGGTAGGCATGCAGGACTGTCTACCAATAAATGTTTGCAGAATTGGGCAGTAGGTGGTCCTACTTTATTTGCTGTTCTAACAGAAGTCTGGTACTTGTTATTGAGTGAGTTTGTTCCTCTGGGAAAGGTGGGTGTAACTTGTCAGGACATGAAGGATAACTAACCTCAGACATTTGGGAAGTTGTGTGTGTGTATATGTGTGTTTTGATGCATATGATTTTGTTATGTAAAACAGTAAGGCTCACACCCTTCTCTGCCTGATCGTGCCCTCTTGTGGGTTTCTGTGCCTTTCTTTTGAAGGAGAAGGGTAGCTCATATGATGAGGTGAGAAAGAAGATGAATGGAAATAGAAACTAGGAGGAATCAGATCTTCAGCTGAGTAGTTATAAGGGCTTCTAGAATTCAAATACATTTTATGATATGTAATTGGGGTCATAGAGGAAAAATGTGTATTATTTAGAAGCTAGATCTTGATTTTTACAGAATAGTTTCCCAGGATTTAATTCTGCATAATAAGAGGCATTTTATATTGTATCCCTCTGAAAGAATTTCTCAAATACATCCCCAGCCCTCAGAAGAAGCTAAAATCCTTCTTTTCCTTCTGAATGTATCTCCTGGATTGGCAGCTGGCTTTCCTGTGTTTTGTTTCTGTCAGTGAATTACAGCCATGTTTTGGGCTAATGCTATTATTTTGAAGGTTTCTTATATTGAAAACTCCCTCAGTTGGATTGTTTGGTGCTAGATTTTCTGGGAACCCAACATAGGTGATGGCATTTTGGAGGTGAAAGGAAGCAGTGGGGAATGAGAGGGATTATCTTTTCATCTCTCAAACACAGCTGTAGTATTTCTGCAACATTGTGCATTAAGTACAGTATGCTGGTCTTGGCTTTCATGAGAGTTCTGAAAGAATTTTGTGTGCTACACAGTCTGATTGACAAAGAGGTTTTCTGTCCTCACATGACCTTCTTTTAATTTTAAAAAAATTCAATAAAAGTTCAGCCACACAGCAAGGGATGAATTTAAAGACTGCACACCATGTGATAGTGGTAGAACTTTCATAATAGCCATCATATTTGTTGGTTTAAAAATCAACTTCATTGTCATAGTTAATAGTTTGCAGCTGCTGCAGAACACAGGCAAATTGCTATGTATGTTTCAGTTTTAAATGCAAGTAAGATCCACTGACTAGGGCAACTTGGTTAGTTTTTCCTATCTATTGGTAGTATTGCTGATCATCATCTCTATGTGATGAGAGGAATTCATTGCCGCATTTCAGCACTGCTGAGCTGAGTATGTGATCTTGGAAGTAAAATAAACTTGTTCTCAATGGCGTGCCAAAGTATACTCCATGAAATCCCATTTAAAAGGCTTCCAGGGTTGTGTGTAAGTAGGTGAAGTCCCTCTGCAAATCTGTGGGATATCATCATCATTGATTTAATCAGTAAGATAAGTTACATGAAAGATATTAGAGAAAAAAAATTTATCTCCTAATGGGTTACACAGAAGCCATGATGGAGAAGATTATCAGCTAAATTCTCTACCAACATACAGCTTGTGAAAAGTATTTGTAATTTGTACCAGGTTTACATCAGATGGAAGAGGTAGGTAGCTGGAACAAACTCTATCCACTGTGCTTATGAAGATGGTTAAGGTCAAAGGGCTGAGTGGGCCAAGTGTAGCAGCTGGCTAGGGACAATCAGGAGAATATGTGAAGTGCCCTCTTGAACTAGGGGACATTCAGAATCCCCCTAAGGTATTGTACATGGTGGAAACTGAAGGGAATTATGTCTAAAGTGGTGTGTTGTGCCTTTAGGTTGAGCAAATGTAGTGTTACTTAGATTTAGGATATTCCATTTGCTTTTTTTCCTCCTTAATGTATCTACTGTTAGAGCAGAACAGAGCTTAAACTGTGAGCCTAAACTGTAACTGATATGTGTGGTACATCCATTTTGAGCTATTTCAGAAAGACTGTAGATATAAAAAGCAGAGTATTCCTTGCTGTGTTCTCATGGCTGAAGTTCAGATTTTTCTTTCCAGAAGGCATATAGTAGAGAAGCAAGAACGTTAACTGACTGGGTATACAAGACAGTGATTATAATTCTGAAATCAGAGAACCTTAATCCAAAGGGAGAGAGGAATTTCCTGGGGAAGGGACAGTATGCATGGAGTCCTGCTCTGGATTACTGGTTACTGCTACTTCACTTGGATGAGGTTTCTGGTGTGTTCCCTGGAACAGAACTTGACCCTCAGGTCTCATTTACAATTCAGAGTACTTCAGTTTGGCATTTCTGTGAACACTGTATAATTACAATAATTTCAATTCTTGTTATCCTTTCAAGCTTGATTAATTTGTCATTGTGTTTGTTTGCTTTATTCACATAGGGACCGTGACTACACTGAAGTCTAAAGTGAACACATGAGATCTCTAGTTAATTTGTGCTTTCTTTCTTCCTGTGCTTTCTGTCTTTCCTGCTTTGTGGAGTTTGTTTTGTTTTTGAAATGAATGGCAGTGTATACTAGAAGAAGAAAGAAACCTTCAAAACTTTCAGCTTTGAAGAGGGCTCTGGGAGAGTGGCTCCATAAAGTCTGGGAAAGCTTAAAGTATAGGTATCTCTCTCTATTTCTTAATTGTATTCCTCATCTTCTCAATGGAGTTTCCTAATTATGAGGAGGAATATCTGGATTAAGAACAGTTAATTTAGGAGCCAGTTCACAAATGGATCAAATATCTTTTCCTCAGCAAGAGAGAGAGGAAAGGAAGATATACTCCTGTTAAAAAAGGTGAGATGAATGTCTAGATGATAACAGTTATAAACATGTTGGAACTGCTCCTTTTGTAGTAGAGCTGTCTGTATTTTCCTGCCTCCTGAGGCAGAGAATCTTACAGGATTTTGACTGATGATACTTTATCTCTGACTTCCCTGTTTCTTGAAGATTGCTGACAACCAGCTGTTGTGTTTTCTCATATTGGATATAATTGTCTTCTGAAGGAATTTTCACTGTTGGAACCTACAAGAGCAGTGGTACTATGTGATTAGAGTCAAAAGGTGGAATTTTTCTAACTATATGTAAATGCGTGTGAAATGTAAAAGTCTGTAGTTAGGTAGTCACTGAGCATCCTTCCATGATCTGTGGATACACAATCAGAGTAGTCAGTGGATTACAGGTGCCATCTCTACTTCTCCTGAAGCAGAAGCTTAAAATGTCAGATGGACTCTGTCCTTAACAGTGCCCATATCTCTTCATTGACTGGATAGGAGACTGAGGTTGAGATGGTAGCTCCAATTCTTTGTCTTGTTCTTTCTCACAGTGATAGGGCAGCTTTAAGCAGTGCCCTTCAGTATTTCATTGTCCTCCTCAAGTTACTTTTCTTCTCCTACTTAGACGCTGACAGGGCTCTTCAGGGCCAACATGAATTATATCTGTTCAATACAAATTTTTATGTTATTCATTGTTGCTTTGCCTGGGACAACACTGGTTTACAGGCTGAGAGAGCTGGGGTTGTTCAGCCTGGAGAAGGGAAGGCTCTGAGGTGATATGATAGTGGCCTTTTGGTATCTGAAAGGGAGCTGTAAGAAAGAAGGGGACAGACTCTTTAGTAGGGTCTGTGGTGACAGGACAAGGAGAAATGGCTTCAAGCTTAAAGAGAGTAGATTTAGACTGAATATAAAGAAAAAGTATTTTACAGAGACAGTGGTGAAGCACTGGAATGGTTTGTCCAGAGGTGTGGAGGCCCTGTCCCTGGAGACATTCAAGCTCAGACTAGACCAGGCTCTGAGCAACCTGATTGAGGTGGTTGTCCAGGTTCATTGCAGGGAATCTGGATTAGATGACCTTTAAAAGTCCTTTCCAACTCTAAGGATTCTATGATTTTAGGATTCTATGATAATCGATGAATGTTTTGGAACTCCAGGAGTATAGCAGAGTGTTTTCAACAGCGAAGGTCTCCTGGAATTCCTGAAAGAAGACTGGAACTGGAAAGAAGACTGGAAAAAGCAATTTCTTTTCTTAAGGCACTTTTTCTCCTATCTGATTTCCAAAAAGGGGTTGTCTTTCATATTGTCCTGCTGCTATGGCATTTTTTATGTGGGCCACAATTGAGAAACCCTGAGTTGGAAAGGTGTCTCAAAACAATGACTAGATATACTTGGATGAAATGCTTATTATTTCGCTTGTTGCTACTGAGAGCTGCTAATTATCAAGCAATTATGACCAGACTTAATTTTTCACTGTCTGAAGCTGCCTCTGGGGATTAATATCTGACTAAAAACAAAACGTGGAGAAATTTTGATGAGTTCAAAAAAGACCAGGAGATATGTAAATATTTCTTCAGGGCATCCTTTCCTACCTTGGACTTCAAGGCCAAAAGTTTGACTATAAGTGTCTCCTTAAAAGGCATTCTTGGCTCCAATGGTCTGACATGTCTTTTCTTCCCTTGTTTCTCAAATAATCAAATCATAAAAGTAGTTTGGGAAATATGGA